GGCCATGTCCATATATAAGTGTCCATGTATGGCATCATGAAGGGTGGTCAACACAGATCTCACTTCGGTGATGGCTGATAAGATCGTGTCTCCTCAGAATGCTTTCCTTGTGTTTCCTTGTCTTCACCTCTCTCTCTCCGTTACACAGCAATCTACCCTAGCTCACAAGCTCACAGTGGTTCGTCTTGCCAAGCTGGCAATCCTGACAGTAACCAACCAACCAACCCAGATCTGCCAAAGCTCGCCATCCCTCCAGCTCGCATGTTTCACTCCTTGAACCTGAGAGGAAAAGAGTGGTCTTACGTGGCCTGGGTGAAGACTCAGGCGAAAACGGCCTGTCGGCAACTCAGCTCTTGTCCGTCCATTCGTGGGCGTGTGTGTCCTTGACGCACACCCTCCCCACCACCTCTTACCTCGGCTTTTTCTGCACTCGCGCGCCACCTGGTTGCGTCTGAGTGCTTCATCATTGGCGTGTCGGTGTCTATCGATTTATGTCATTTAACCCCACGAAGAAGTCTGAAGTTCATCAACATCAGAGTCATCAGTGGGTGCCAAAAGTCAGGAGAGCTCAGGATGGAGAGGCAAACAACTTCGGGTGAGCTGAGCCAGCCACAAGGAGGGAGGGAGGAAGAAGGGCCTCATTGTGTGTGTGTGTGTGTGTGGTGATGTGTTGCGCAGGTCGTCTGCCAGCAGTGAGCAGAGAGAGCGACCCTCCTCGTCTTCCCGTGCAAAGGGGTATGCATGAGTGAAGCCACAGACACTTCCATGCGCAGACAAGAGCACAGCGCACATCATCCTTCTCTCTGTGTGTGCATCAGTCGAGGCGTCAAGGGCAAAGGCGTTCAGATCCCCGCTGAGGAGCTCTTCAACTTTCAGAGATACGAGCCACGACACAGCCGAGTAAGATAAGAGACCCCTCCCCTCGGACGTCCACACAATGAGGAACGGGTACCTGAACCTTTGCCTCTTCAGGGTGGTGGGCCATTTCGGCGTCGCCGAAATGTCACGCAGACGGAGGCGTTCGTCAAGGAGAGATTTGTCAAGGTGAGAAAACAAACGGACAAGGATGCCGACCTGGATGGCCACGGCGCATCTGCTGTTGTCGATGATCGATCCTCAGGCGAACTTCCGGTGTTGGGTCAGCCGCGGATCGACCAACACGGCGGAGGTCAGACGCGCTTTGTGGGACCCTGACGTCAATCTCGGTGTGAAATTCGTGCGCACTGCGTCCATAAGAAAGAGTGCTCATGCCACGAACGTGGCCTGGCCTGCTGTTTCAGATTGGGGTGCCGTGTCCGGGGTAGAGCTGCTGTGTCCGGAGGGCATCTCCATTCAGTGCCCGATATGTCTTGAGGAGAACGACGACATAGGTACACCCTCAGACATGTCAGTCACGTGCACTCTCCCGTGGAATGCCCATCGTGCCCCCGTCGGTCTGTCCTGCCTGTCTGCACGAATGCAGTGTGTCCCAAGGTGACGATGTGCGGTCATGTCTTCTGCTGGCCATGCATTCTCAGATACCTCAACACGGACCCTACAGGTGAAGCACAGCAAACACAGCATTCGCATAGCCATGCCCTCATTTGTGCCCATGGGGTCGATGTATGGATGCAGAGGCCCCGTATTTTCCGTCTATTGCCAACGACCCTAACGCACCCGTAACTGTCGTCGCGGAGAGAAGGTAATGCAGGGAAATGGTAATGCGCAGGCAGACATGCAGTCATTCCCATGTTAATGTGAGTGCAGCGCGCCCGACGGTCGCACGCCTTCTCCTCCGGCACTGCCCGACCACTCGGCGAGTGCGCCACAGGGGAAAAGATACTGGTACGGACACGTGCCATGTTCATCAGTGCATGTCCATGCTCCTCTTCTTGCTGTGCAATGAATGCGATAGGCGCCGCTGTCCGCTGTGCTCTGAGTCGGTGGTCAAGCGGGATCTCAGGCCGATCGCATTCCAGAGGGTGGGGCGCAGACGCTGCACCCGAATGCCAGTGCATGCAGACCAGAGATGTGTCCATGCATGGGTGTCCATGCGTTAGGTTCGGAATTTCCCCGCGTTGGTTGAGGACATGTATGAGAGCGAGGAGTACGAAGACGAGCAAGTCGACACGGGTGAGGGCATGTCGACAGGCACACGAGCCACTCCCTGTACCCACGCGTGGATGAGAGTTGTATCTATCCATGATGGTAGGAGTTGACTTTTGTCTGGTGCAACGCGAAGGTAGAAGAATGTCTGGTTTGACGCACATTTGTGGCTGCATGCATTGGTGCTGGTGTGTTCATGTCATGTAGAGGGCAGCACGTCTGTCACTTTGCCGCGGTATGTGCTGCGCTGTGTACCCACCCACATGTGGGAGGCATGCAGGGTCAGACTCAACGGTACGCGCCTGCACAACGAAGACGCATATTGGTATCTGCGTCATCATCTCTCACTCTTCCTCTTTTGTCACAGGTGAGGAGGATCGTTTCGCTGTCAACGACAAGGTCATTCTGATGGACACGCACATCGGTGAGAGACAAAAGAGATACCAGTGTGATCTGCATCCCGCGCAACGTGTGGTGGTGACACACGAACACATGTGTCTCTGCAGGCGTTCAGTTCAGCCGTGTGGGCTGTTTGTCTGATCCGTTCAAAACGTCCCAGCAGGAACTCAGAATACTCAGTATGCAGGAAGGAGGCACCGATTGATTTCGCTTGACCACGTCCACGCATGCAATTCGCATTTATGCTCGCAGCGTCACACCGCAAGGAGTGCGAGTCGAGCGGTGATACGGACATCATTCCCGCAGTAGACGAAGTAGGTCCAGACACAAACACGTCAGAAACAGCAGACATGGACATACGAAGGGGACTCTGTACACTCGTCTCGCAGGCCCTTGCGTACTTGAATCGGACGCTCTCCGAGATGATGTCATCCATACCGCCGCTCACGTAGGAATGATCCGCACCATCCTGGATCATGTATACGTCATGTTGCCACCCATCCATCATCTGGACAGAGCGACCACGAGCGACGAGGAGCGCATATCGATCAAAAGGGACGAGGGAAACTTCATCGTCTACAATGAGCAGGTACATAGCTGAGTACGCAATTCACGGACGGGTACGCATCGCCCCGTGTGTGCAGATCCTTCTGTCGATCATCGAGAGCTCTTTGCAGGGAGGGCCACAAACAGAAGGTACGTGAACACTTTCCTGAGTTGTGATGCAAATGCATTCATAATCGTATGTGGCTGCATGCGCCCGTCGTCACAGGTTCACCGCCACAAGCCGAGGAGACCATCGACAGCGCTGCAGTGTGCGTCAAAGATGCATGGTACACATTACCACTCACATGCGCGCACTTCACCTCTTGTGACACGGTTGCAGGGACAGTGACAACGAAATGGACGACAGCGATGCCGCCGCCGCCAATAAACAACCAACCGCGATTTCGCCGCCAACAAACGCCACCAAGTTGGCGTCTCACACGAACTCATGCAGCCGTATTCATCTGACATTGAGGACGGTGTGTGTGTGCTTGTGTGCTTGTGCAGCAAGCCGACGAGTATGGGGACCACAGAGGAACCAGAAAGCACCGCAACCACCACCACAAAGGCAAACGGTAAGCGGAGAGACCACACTCAATACGTGAACCAACCGGGATGCACTTTCGCTGTCTGTCTGCGTCGCCAGGATACCTGTTCTACCAGACGGCCGATGGGCAGAACGCGTTTCTGGAGCCCTTCCTGACTCGGTAGACACGGGCAACGCGTCCAATGTGGACACCGATCCATTTAATGTGCTGTGTGCAGTTGTTTGTTGTATGAGCATGGCGACTGGGCCCATCTGCCTCCGCTACTGCGCCAGCTGACGCTCATCGGGTCCAATGAAATCACCCTCAATGAATCCATGAGAAAGAGGTATGTTGTGATGAAGGGATGGGTGTGGACGCACCGGTATGGAGGCCAATGTGCGCTGGTCCGTTCTCACCCCCCAGGTACAAGTTCCTGTCTCATTTGCCGCTTTCCTCATCGATCCGCTTCCTTGACGTCGACATCACACCGCTGCTCTCGGACAAGACCAGAACGCACTTCAGGGTATGGAGCGACAGAAAGACCTTCATAGACAGATACATCCATAGTCATTTGCGCATGCATCCATCCATCAATCGACTGACTCATCAATCAATCAGGATGAGTTTGTCAAACGTGAGCGTGCGCGGCGTGCGGCCGACAACAAGCGAAGGCAGGAGAAGCGACTGGCTGAGCAGCAACAGCAGCAGTACACGGCAACCGCATACGTGAACGACGTTCATGCGACTGTGCAAATGGTAAAAGCGTAAGTGATACGGAAGAGAATATCAGTGCATGGTGCGTCCGTGTAGAACATTGCTTCTGCTGTGGGTGCGGCCATTCATCAGTTGCCTCTGTCGTCGATTGACGAGTCTCCGTCGCGTTGTGTGTCCGAACGCCACGAAGATGCGGCTCAGGACGCACCAGCCGAAGAAGAGGAGGAAGAAGGTACGCACGAAGTCAAACGCACACGCATTTGACGGGCGGGCGCTTACACGAATGAGTGCAAGCTACCGTGTCTGTGCATGATCTACAGTCACTCCCACCCTGGCAGACAAGATCAAGGCTAAGATGCAGACCGACAAGGACAAACAGAAGCAGGAGGAAAGCAGGGAGCACTTCCCCTCACTCTTGAGTGCATCGCCCCCCGCCAACGAGACCGCCAGCGCTTCGCCATCCCGTAAGGCAGCCACCGTACGACGCGGGAACCACCACATGCAAACGATACCTAGTACCCAAGCTAAGCTATACTGCGTGCGGATGTATGTGTGACCTGCAGGTGACAAGCCGTCCACCACTGCGTGGGGGACGCCGAGTCTCAAGTGGGACAAGAAGTCGACGCCCAAGTCGACCCCGAAGACCGATGGCAAGAAGGACAAAGACCAGCACAGGGACGTGCCCCCCATTGACATCGAGGAGTCCTACGCTCCCCCGGCAACTTCCAACTTCGACATCTCTGACATTGTCGCGAGGAAGTGAGCGATGTCAGACACTGACTGATGTGTGGTGAGTCCCTTGGTTGTCTCTTCTTGTCTCAGGCTGCGAGAGTATAACGAGGAGCGTCAGAAGGAGTCGCCGAAGCACTACTCCCAGAAGGCCGAAAAGAGCTCGGGCATCGCCATGTTAGACAAGGCGCTGGAGCAGCAGCAGGCCAGTGCCAGTGGCTCCCAGGAGGTGGGAGGCCAGGAGGGCCACGAAGCCGACGGATCGAAGAAGAAAAAGAAGCAGAAGAAGATAGCCCTCTTCTCTACTTCGGGCATGAGAGGCGTGAAGTATTGACCAACGGACGGACAGGCAGGGAGGGAGGGAGGGTGGCTGTGTTTTCAAGGGCGGACGGGTGAGGGCTGAACGAGACACTACCACGTCGCTGGTGGTAGATATGTGTCTGTTCGTACTGTGAGCCTGGTGAGTGCGTGGATTCAATGCTTTGGTGCATTTCGGACGCAGCAGCTGACATATGTGAGACATTAATGACAGTCAATGACATACTTGCCGACACACACAGTAACCACGCAGAACACTGAGGAGAAACTGTGCGAAAACAAGCATCCCTATCCCCTGTTGAAACGCACGACCAGGCACAGAGAGTGAACGGGGCAGAGAACCGTCAGCTCTTACGCTCTAGCCCCACTCAGTCTCACTACAAACCCACTCCCTTGCGCTTCTCCCCTCCCCCTCCATGCCCTCTCCTTTTCTTTTCCTTAGCGTTTCCCCACTGTCACCTGCGACCGCTGCACTCGTTGATCCGACACTCGCTGACTGGGTACTCGCCGATTCCGCACTCGCTGATTGGGCACTCGTCGGTTGGGCACTCATCAGGTAGGATGACGACGTAGTGCTGCAGGCAGAGATGGTCGCCACTGGTGAGGAACCGAGCGGTCGGAACAACGAGGCAAGCAGTCGCTCAAACCTGATCGACAAAAGCATCACAGGCAGTCAAGAGACGATGAGAAGTGAAGTGGCCCGCTCCTCATCTCCTCTGTCTTGTCTGTCTGCCCTTCGTGTTTGTCTGCCGTGCCCACACACCAGCATGGTCGACTGGCGGTCAGTTGAAGACGTTTGTGGAGTTCGCGAAGCCCTCTCATGAGGTCACGTCTTGACAACTCCGTCAGATTTCCTTCGCTGTCCCGGTCTGCATACAAAAGGATGCCGACGACATCTCGATTCACCAGGCCGTAGCCGTTGTAGGAAAGGATGTCGGGAGGGGGATGTTGGGAGCGTCACTGTCTGCCTTCTGGATCTCCTGGACAAGAGCCACGAACTGCCGCTCCTTCTCAGGCTCCACAGGCTGAAACCGCTCCATCTCGTCCCTTCGCTCCATCTCGTCCCAATGCCTCCCCGACCTTCGCTCCATCTCGTCCCAATGCCTCCCCAAGCCTAACGCAAACGCATCAAGTGAAGAGACACTTTGGTTTTACCGACCTTTCGCCATTGGGGTGCCCTAGCCCAATTTCGGGCCGCCCCTCCTCTTTTTTCGGCGGAAACCGATACAACCACCTAATCCTACGGCTTCTTGTCCCGGACCGCGTGATGGTCACCAAAGCGGAGAAGAAAAAAGCGAAGCTGCAAAAGACGCATTTTCAGATGGGGGATTCACACTCGCGCTTCTGGCAGTCCAGGTGGGAAGAACGTGGGCGTGAATGCTTTCACAATGTCTTGGTGGGCTCACTTTACCTGTTTTTGTGTACGGACTTCACTCCCCACAGCTACAATGATGCATATAAGCCCCATCCTCAGAGGTCTGCTGATTTTTTGCAGAACAGGCAGAATCGGCTTTACCTGCGGAGTCATCACTTCGAGCTCGGTGAGGCCATGGTGACCTCACATGTTAACCATATTTTTTTCACTTGTACGGTTCATTTAGGCAACAAGAAGCCTGTCTACGAGTCAACACTGAAGCAAGACTTCGTAAGCTTCAATGTACCCACGGATGGTCCCTCCTGAGAGACCGACAGACTCTGCCTGCCGTTGCGCTATGAGTTGATGTATTTCATCTCAATGGTGCCTTCTGTCCTTCTTCCTTTTCCTTTCCTTCAGCCACCCCTCCAGAGCGAGAAGGATGGGGTCAAGAAGCTACAGGAGGCCGCAGCGAAAAAGAGGGAATTGTCTGCAGTTCACTGGTCACTGGGTGACGTCAATAAGGCGCCTGCCCGCGAGTGAGACAGACAGACAGACAGACAGACATGCCGCAGAGCGAGCGGATCGATCCGCTCGCTCTGCCTCTCTGTGTGTGCGGACACTCATCCCTCCCTCTCTCTGTCTGTGTGTGTGTCAGGTGGGGGACAATACGAAACAGCACCATTGACAGTGCAATCTGCCGTGCCATGAAAGAAAAAGGCAGAGGCGAACTGCATGAAGATGTCAAGAGGGATCTGCGCAAGGAACATTTCGAGCTGGGTTTCGATCCGACCGAGTATGAGACCACAGCTCAGAGCGGATGTGCTGTCAAGATGGGCGGGGCCGGCGCGGAGCGAGAGGAGGGCGTCATGTCCTCGAAAGAACGGTAAGACAACAAGCACGCCAGGGACGTGATGCGTCAAATGCGGGGTGTCTACATGTTTGTATAGAGCTCGGCTGTTAAGGTCATGCAACTTCGACCTGGGAGGGCATTCGACTGTGTACAAGACGACTGCGCAGGAGCTTCACGGGTGACATGGTTGTCTGCGAGAAGCGCTTGCAGAGACACGGTCTATCACGTGTATGTGCAGGTGTGAAAAGACTATGGCCGGCGCACAGGCCAAGGAAGAGATGAAGCAGTTGAAGCGAGACCTCCTCTGGACAAAGAACATATCGTTCGGTACTATCTCTTGCCTCAATCTACCTCGATTCCTCTCCTGGTCTTTTTCGCTCTTTAGGCAGCCTGCCTTGTCTCTATCAGTCGACTGCTGCCCATCAGTTTGGGGAGTAAGGCACGAGAAGAAGCATACCTCTAGACATGCACAATTCGAGGATCCCTCCACTTGTGCAGCATTGATGCGTACCTCGACGCAGCGAGACGCCCGGCTTCGTTGAACAAAGAGCTCAAGGGTGGGCAAATGATAGAGCATGAGCGTGAAAAGCAGACAGACCGCACACTTTCTTTCTTCCTTGTCAGGGGATCTTAGAGCCGTCCACTTCTATCTTGGAGAGCAGGTTCCGCCATCAAAGTCCCTATTTCGCGAGACGTTCAAGCCGTTTGACATACCAGAAGAGGAGCAGAGGAGGGCACGGCAAGAGATCCAAGAGCTGAAGAAAGACCTCAGACTCCCTCACTTCTCTCTCAAGCATTCAGCATGCGTGCCGTTTGCACCCAACGAGTCTACATCTCAGGCTGCATACAAGAAGGTCGACGCCGCATACTACAAGGCTATGGTGGGAGGCTGCTACCAACACATGAAGCAGCACATGACCGTTGTATCGCTTGCCATCTGTGCAGCCGTCTGGCGCTGAGAAGCGCGCGCAAATTGATGAGCTGAGAAAGGCCCACTTCTCTCTGGCTGACGAGACGGTCCTGGCCGACAAGACTCTCAACGACCAGCGACAAATGTCCCTGCAGGTAGTCGCGTTGATCCATTCACGCTGTGTATTGCACGTTATTTGAGAGAGATGACGTTTGGCATGCAGAGAGAGCAAGAACTCAGGACGCTCAAAGGGGTCAACTACTCGAGTGTCGGCAAGCAGGACATGAGTCGCATCAAGGCGGTACGCACGCTCGCAGCACATACTCGCGCACTCTCCTTTGGCAACCTTGCGGGTCATGTCTCACAGGACTTGAGGGCCGTTCACTTCGAGTACACAAGGGAATTCGATGCATGCCTCGTTATCGATTTTTCCGTCCCTTTCGTTCCTTTCCCTCATCAGATTTGGGGATGCCGCCAGGCCCAAGGAATCGTTGGCGAGGGCATCTTACAAGCCATGTGCTGAGAAATCCAAAGCCACTCGCTTGCGCAAAATCTCTCTATCTCTTTGCATGCATGCAGTCCCCGGCTCTAGACCAGCAACACTGGCCGATGCAGTGAAGAAAGACCTACGAGCACATCATTTCGAAATCGGGGCCAATGGCTACCTGGGTGTGAGAAGTGAAGCGCATGACGGCCTGCAGTGGAGAGGTTTCGCCCCTGTTGAGTTTCGAGACGACCTAAAGGTCAGATCAAGGACTGTCAGCGGCACGGGGAAAAACATGTGTCGTATGGACTGGACGTTTTCTTAGAGAGAGTTGAGGGCGGTGCATTGGAGCTGTGGCGATGAATCATTGCCGAAAGACACCACATCGCGGGCGGCATACATCTGGCACAAACTTCCAATCGAAGAGGAAGAAGACGACGAGGACTTTGTCGATTAGGTAATAGGCATTGTTGATTGTCGCACTGGGAACCGTCTTTGGTAGGCATACCAAGGCGGGGAGAGAAGCCATAGTGTTGCACTAAGGTCAGGGACGACTTTCGTTCATCGATCCTTGATGACATTGAAACGCATTACGTGCCCAGCACCCACACATATTTCCATGCATGTTCCATTCTCACTCAAGAGGTTGAGAGAAACAAGAGATGTCGAAAGAGTGCACCGAAGGGAGCGAGGGGAAGGGGACGGAAATACATTCTTCCTCACCGGGACCCCTTGAAGTATTTTCTTACCAATTGGTTCTTTCTCCCCGTGATCAGAAGTCTCCGAGTCCCTCGGCTGGCTGGCTGGGGATCGTCTGCATGCTCATTACATCACTTGCATTCCTGCTTGTCTATCCCACATCATTGACGATAAAAGGCCCACTTGTTTTCTTCACTTTGAGTGATTTTTCTGAATTGTATTTGCGCCAAAAGACGACAGACGCTCCTTTTTATCGTGGCAGAGTTTTCACAGCGACTCACGAACCTTTTGGCATGAGCCATGCAAACAGTGTTGTGCGTCCTCCGATCCCGCCATTATCTGCTCGAGAGCCAGCAGAGTCTTTGTGGGCTTCCCCGTGTGGCAGTCATTTCCCGATATAAAGCAAACACAAGTCACCACAAAGTCCCTGGAGTCATGCGCACAAGAATGTTCTCCGAGCCACGCCGCAAGCCGCCCCGCGACGGTCTCGGGTTTTCTCCAGTGGGGATATTAGCCTAGAGAAACGGCACTGGAGCATTCTTCTCGTCTCAGGGGATCCACCCTGACCTTTCATGGTCCCACAAAAAAGACCAGAAAATCATTTTCGAAAATCGCTCCAGCCGTTTCTAGCCAACGGCCAAGGTTGGTTTCTCTTGCATCCGAGCTGTTCAGTCCAAACAAACCATGCCATGCTGTCGTCTTTCGTCAAAAGGTGGATTCCATGCCCCTTACACGAGCTGCAAAATGGTCAGAAAATGAGGTCGTGTCTCTGACCCCAGGCAGTGGCCCCTGCTTGTGTCTCTGACACACAGCCGCAGACATCAGGCACGTCACCAGACTCGTGATATCTTTCTCTCCCGAGCCATCCAGACTTCCGAAATCACACAGTGTCACTAGCTTACTCCCACAACAAGACGCCCTTGCAAGCAGTTCGTAAGCGTAAGTGGACTTGTGTAATGACTTCTTTTCCTGTCACACAAACCACATGTTGAAAGAAAACGGCCTGTGGGTCGTCGGTTTTGACATGGATGTTGAGCGCTGACGGACGACGAGTGGTCGTCCTCGTTCGTCCAGCAGCCCGAAGGGGAGGAAACGTCCGAAAAGATCGTCCTGGCAATCGAGCTGCATCACCTTCTTTCATCTCTCTGTCGGTCAAGTGCGACTTCCGCTCGGCCTGCCGTCTGATGGGGTGTCATGCAACAGGAATGGGAAGCCACGCAATGTCATCCCACAGGATCTGCCGCAACTGTGTGCCCATGGGGCAGGCACGATGCTTAAACCAAGGTCAAGGCACGGGGGGTGATGCAGCACCGCCATCGCCACATCGCAGCCCCCAGACACCCAGCTCTGCCCGCGCTTGGGGAAGTACGGGGTCATAGGAAGTATCAAAATCTGTCTGGGTCATTTAGGGTCGTTGGCCCATGACTTCTTCTTTTGGTAATTCTGGTGATGCAAGCATTTAAAATCCTTCACCGCCAGTTGTGTGGGTGGGGTGCACTCTGCAAGTGCCCTTCCACCCCCAAGTCTTCAAAAATGACTCACCATCACATGCACCGATGCAACCATCACGTATGTATCGCCCCCGTTGCCGTACGTTCTGAAAATTCAGATACCGACCTTTCTCTCACTCTCACGCTCTGATCAGCCGCTGTATGCACACATGCAACATGCACCCTCCTCTCTGTTTTCCTTGCCTCCAGCCAAGCATACATAGAGCAGTGACGGATCCATCCATGCAACGCCCCTGGTACGTGTACGTTCATCGCATTATCGGCATAGTCACACATGCACACCCCTCACCAGCGATTCCCAAGCCGTCACCCCTTCGGACCCCAAACCGCCAGAGCTGATCTGCCACAGCTGAGGCGCACCATAACACAACACACAGACTGTCCATGATGCTCACAACAGAAAATTTTGTCACTGACGCCCCTGGTACGTGTACGTTCATCGCATGGTCGGCACAATTAGACATGCACCCCTCACCGGCGACTCTCAAGCCCTCACCCCTTCGGGCCGAGAAGTGCCACTGTCGACATGCACTCCTCACCCAATGAAATCGCATCGTCGGCATGCTCGACATGCACCCCTCACCGGCGATTCTCAAGCCCTCACCCCTTGGGCTGCTGACGACGAAAAGCCTCGACTCATCAAAAGAGAATGAAACGCCATGTAAAAAGCGGGGGTACAAGCACCTCGTCTGTCCACTGCCTACACGGACACCTCCATCTGCTGCCCCTCGTCATCACCCTCGTCCTCCTCCTCAATCACCAGCTGCAGCGGCGGAATGTGCGCCACCCACGGATCTTCGTATTCGTCTTCGGCTGAGTCGACTTTTTTCATGAACAGCGTCACGTCGCCCTGCTTCTCCATGTACTGCGCAGATAAAGCAGCCACAGGTGAATCACAGTGTTAAACCTCCATCCGTCCTGTTTTCGGACCTGTGCGAACTCCGCGTCGGTCAGCAGGCACTCGTCCAGAGCCGCTTCCAGCGCTGCAGACAAGAGAGCAGCTATACACTTGCCACAAAGACGCTTCTATCCCCACTGCATACCTTCTTTGTGGCCGGTGAGCTGCCCGATGAAGACAATCTCCTGGCGCTTGTCGCCGACCTTGTCTTCAAAGTCCTTGCGGATCTCGGCGCGCACCTTCTCGCGTGTCTCGCCCTCCAAGAAGGCGTCGGGCCACTGATCCTGCACACACAGACAGACAGTGAGTGAACGATTGGCGACTCGACTGCTGTGTTTGCGTCTGATGGACCTCAGGGGTATCGCAGAGCCACAGGCCGGCCGACGTCATGGAGAGGTAGAGACCCGCCTGCGACCACATGATGGAGTCCGGGCGGCTGAAGAAAGGCAAACCCCGCAAACCACTCATAAACTGTATGTGACTCCCCCAAACAACCCACCAATCCTTCCTTCCTTCCTTCATGTCCGTACCTCGCGAGCCAGGCGTAGCCCTTGGACCGCAGGACAGGCGCCATGACGCCCTTCTTGCGGTTGGCCATGGTCTCGCGCACCCAATCCAGGTCCTCCATCTTCACCGCCGACTCCATCTCCTTCTCCTTCTCCTCCTTCTCCTTCTCGTCGCTCATGCCCCCATCTCCGTCCTCTTCGCCGCCCTCTTCCTCGTCATCATCGTGCTCCTGAACGACCTGAAACGCGCAAACGGTTCAGTTTTCGATTTCTTCGCGCCGCATTCACTCACCCAGTATTTGCTGAGGAGCTCGTGCAGCCGGAAGGGATGGAAGGGCTTGCGGCGTTGGTAGATGAAGGACCACACGCCGTACACGTCGCTCTCGGACTTCAACTTCTCGGGCTCGCGAATGGACTGCAGCCACCCCGCGGCGTTGGACGCACGGTCCCAGTCGAACAGGTGCGTGTTGACGATCTCCGAGGGCGAAACCACGCTGTGCACCGTCTGCAGAACCTTCGCCGTGCTGCGTGAAGGGGAGCAAGCAGAGGGTCGATGCACCAAGCGCTTCTGTCGATATGTGATTGGGTGTGGGGGATGGATGCTTACGGGTTGAGGGTGCGGATGGTCTTCTCGATGCCAGCCAACCGGGCTTCACCGCCGGCCGTCTTGAGGAGGTCTGAAGGCGAAGACACGCAGCGTCGGGGGGGGTAGGCGTGCCTGGACAGAACTGTGCGTGGCGTGCGGTGTCCGTACCCGTCTTGTTGAGGAGGATCACATCGGCGAACTCGACTTGCTCGATGAGCAGCTGGCTCAGCGGGCGGTCATCGTCGCCCTTGCACGCCTCGTCGCCCCCCTCGTTGACCAACTCGGACATCTGCATAACCAGCTCGAAGTTGCTGCAAACAAACAAGGCACAAAAGCACCAGTCGGAGGGAATACGCAACGGTTGCACAAATACAAATGAATGCTCGGGCGCTTGCCTCGCGTCGACGACTGTCACGCAGGTGTCCAGCCGCGATACGTCACGCAGCTTCTTGAGCTTTTCCAGCCCACTCTTTTCCTCATCGGTCATCTCGCCGTTGGTGTGGTCCTGCCCGTTGGCGTGCCCGTGGACGTGCTCCTCACTCAGATCCATCGCCTACACATCGAGACAAAGCAAGCCAGTCAATCAATACCTATCTGGTGACCTGTGGTGGTTTGGCTGGCTCGTGATTTCTTTCGCCACTGCATGCGTACCCAGGTCTCCGCGACTTGCATGGGTTCGCTGATGCCGGTCGACTCCACGAGCAGATAGTCCAGCGATCCGTCCTTGGCAAGCTCCACTACCGCGTCCAAGAGGTCGTCGCGAAGCGTACAGCAGATGCACCCTGCAGATAGAAGGTCAGCCCTCACGCGAAGGCAAAGTCAGACAAATCCCAGGCATGAGCGCGTCTCCTCCATGTCCCCGTACCGTTCTGCATCTGCACGAGCTTCTCCTCGCGTTGGATCAGCGACGACTTCTCCAGAATCATGCCGTCGATGTTGAGCTGAGCCATATCGTTGACAATCAGGCCGCACTTCATGCCCTCTTTGGCTGTGAGGATGTGCTTCAGCAAGGTGGTCTTGCCCGAGCCGAGGAAGCCTGAGAGGATGGTCACCGGCAACATTGGACGGGCCGGAGCGGGGGAGTCAGTGGTGGAGGCATCCATTTTCGCCCTGGAACTGGTGAGTCGTCTCGAGATCTGTGCTTGTCCGTCCCGCCTCAGCTGCCTTAGAGAGAGGGTTTCCCTTGAAACCGCTGCCACCGGAGCGGGAAAGGCATACGGAAGCAATTGCGGAGGGGAGTGAGCCAATTGGTGAGCGGCACTGAGCGCATATTCAAGCCATCAACACATTGGCTGCCATTTCCTTTGGTTGTCTGGTGCTCTCAGGTGCATGTCTTATTGATGCGTCAGGCATTGCGTCCTTTCCGCCTCATTTTCTTCACCTTGCTCCAGCGACCATTCCTTGACTCGAGATCATCTCCCCTGTACTGCGAGATGTCGTCTTTTGCTCCCGGGAAGCAGCAGACGATGGCACGCATCATGGATAGCGTGTATGGGCCGCTCACTGACGCCTTTCCATCGCCTATGCCAAAGACGGAAGCAGGTTGATCGAACGATGCTTCACTTTTATCAATCTTATCACCAAGTTTGGCACGACTCTCCGCGTCTGTGTTCGGTAGGCCCCACGAGTCAAGGGTCTCAACGCAGATACCTGTGGACGGACGCATTTGCCGTATGCAATTATGTGAGCCTCGCCCATAGAGCTGGACAGGAGGGGGATGGTCAGTTGAGGGCCATGTACCTGACCATGGCAGGTAAGATCCCTTCTCGCATCGACTGTCCGTGCAGTGCTGTTTGTTTTCTTCCTGTCGTCCAGCCCGTCTTATTGACACCGTCCATGCATCACTGGGCACTCCGCGGTCGGAAGAGTACCCCATGATCCCTTCAGAGCACAACTCGCCGAGCGGCTTCAAGGGGCTTCGCATCGGAAAGGTAGCGAAGGATGCTGCGCATGACTGACTTCGCCGCCGCATGAGCAGCATCGATTCTTGACCTTGCAGGTGGACCCTAACACAGACCCCGGGATGCGCGCTGACGGCATGTATTGTAAGCTGAGACACACGTAGACACATCTGTCAGCCAGTACAAATGCACAAGGTGTGGTGCTTGCCTGCAGGGCACTATGTGGTGAGCCTGTAGTTCCGGGAAGGTGTTGGCCCCGTTTTCACATGTGTTCCGTCTCAGGATAAGTGGCTGTTTGCGTTGCTGCGGATGTACAACGAGTCGGATGATGCCAAATACCTGAACGCAGCCGTCTCCATCGTCAAAGGTACGGCAGCGCTGACATCCACGCTCACTCACTCACTCTGTTGTTACGTGTGCTTTGTCCATCTCCTCACAGACATCCACGAAAGCTTCGTGGCCAAGTGGAGGGGCAAGCCCGTCGGCTTGTATTGGAAGCTGGGTGTGGATCTCAAGACCATTCCTGGAGCTGAGCACACAGCAGCCAACGACGACGCCCTCTCGGCGTACATCGTGTACGCCCTCATCGACCATCACTACAGCAAGGCAATTCCCGACCACCAGCATCCTCTCAAGCGAGAGATAGACGAGCTGCGCGAGATCCTCAAAGACTACCCCATGCCAATGCGCGTCTCGCCTGACCCTCTCGGTAGTATAGGCCCGATTCCCATGCACACTCATTCAGCAGAATTCCCTTTCTCTCCCATCTACGCAGGAGTTGGGCTGAAGCTGTGGAAGAGTCAGTGGCTGACTGAAAAGGAGGACACACGGCACCCTCACCAATCGGCGGGCGACACCATAGGCCAACTCTTCCTCAAGGGGGGGCGACAGATCATCGAGCGTGCAACCGACCCGATCGACGAGCCCCTTCCCTTCAGGCTCTACGGTCTCCTGATGGGTAGGCCTGAAGGGAGGTGAATGTGGTATTCAGCTCCCTGTGTGATCAATCAGGTATGCGCGTGGCGTGGCGCTCGGACGAAGAGAAGCGGCCCCGTTTCTCCAGGGGCCTCCACTTGGACTCGGTGCTGTCGCACTGGGAGAAAAAAGAGACGGGCAGCGTAGCGAGCAGCTCGCGGAACGAGCACAGCTGTATCAATCGTGTCATGTTCGTCAGCGCCATGGATGGGCTGGCGTGGGAGCGTCGGGTGGACGAACCACTCCTGCCAGTGGATCAGTGAGTAGGCCGAGAGATGGGATGACTGATGGTATAGTGGCCATCTTGATGTGCATAAGGGGATTCATCTGTCCATGGACTTCATGTGTGCTCTCACGAAAACGTCTTTTTCGTTGTGAAGGCTCGGCCATCATTCTCTCAGTCCATTCCGACATGGTTTCACATGGTTGGCACAGTAGAGCTCCTCGACTAGATACACAACCACTCACACAGCTCCTGTCCAGCCCCGTGCGATGCTAACGTGCGAATAAGTCACCATACATCACATCATTCACGAATTAGACGTTCGAGTAGGTAGACACGACAGCCTAATGACGCCTATAAGGAGGACACTTCAGCAAAGTATGAAACCCATCAGCGGCGTGGGCTGTCCAGCGACAGACGCTGGACAACACAAAATCGCCAAACTTCCTGCGTTCAGATGTCAGCACAGTATTGCGATCAGATAGATAGACAGACAGAAATGTTGCACGAAAATCGCCAAAATCATGGCGTCGGCGGCGAACCGCAGGCATACGACTTAACTACAGCTGATGGCTTAAGCCGCCTGCCCTGTCCATTCACAGGAACGACCTGGTAATATTCACACTCTTCCCGTGCTGCGGGGACGTCCAGCCTGTGTCAGCAGAGGAGATATGCACGTGAAGGTTGGACGCCTCCATCTGTCTTTCTGTCCTCCCTCCCACCGGTGTTCAAAATGCCGCCGGTCGAGCGTCATGACGAGCTTCTTGGGCGGGGCTGCCTCGTCCTTGTACACCAACCACTGGGTGTCACCACACAAGGGCACAGAGCAATGAGACGGACCGACACACCACTGACTGATTGCATTTGTGGCTGTCGCACCTTGGCGACGGTGGTGGCCCCATTCCAGCTGAAGTGGATCCTCGGCATCTTGTCCTTGTTGCTGCTGTCAAGGACGAGGGATGGCGGCCAGTGCGGCTCGCCCCACCACTGGTCATACGTGTACTTGTGGGCGCTGTGGCTGTTCTGCCCGTCCTCCAAATACATCTCCATCACTACCTCCCCTGTGCACGCAGGAAAGAAACGCATGGGTGGGCCACATGTACATTGTCTGTCTGTCTGTGCCCATGCTCCAACCATTCGGTTTGACTTCGGTGTAGAAAGGCGCTGCCCAGTTCCTGAAGCTGCAACGAGAGAACGGAGCCGTCAGCGGACACAGTGATGCCAAACCAAACACTGAGTGGTCCCTACCCGGGCCCGACTCCCATGCCTCCCCAGCAGACGACTGTGTTGCCATTGGCGAGCCTGTATAGAGATCGGACAGACGCAGTCCGTTGGTGTCCTGTACCATGTCAGCTTTCACTGAGTACAGACCTCTGTGTGCTCCCGTTGGCCAGCGAGTAGATGCTGCGATTGGCACTGTACTGCCAAATCTTAGTGGCGGTTTTGCCCTTGTGGTCGAGCTCGTACTCGACGGCTCTCGCAAAGCCCTCATCCGACTCGACGTGGTTATCGAGCATTAGAATCCCTGGTGGACAAGGACAGGAAGGCATATGAATGGGCTACTGGTCGACCAGAAGGACGTGTGCTCATCCGTACTGTTGGTCTCCCTCTCTTGCGCATCGTGCTGCAGAGTGAAGGGGCGGTGCTCGTTGGTGTACTTGAAGTCGCTGAACCCATGATGGGCGCCGAATCGCCACATGATGTCGCCGGTGCCCCTGTCGACCTTGATCACGCCTATGTGCACGAATGCCACGCAGATATGCAATGCTGCTGAGTCCGTGTGTTGGGTGCTGACCCATGTGCCTGAATGAGATGATGATGTTCCCGTCGGCTGCCCACGACGCAGCGTTAGGATGCTGACAGCAGCATATAGGCATGTTGTATGCATGACGAGAGATGAGAGCCTGGCCAGGCCCTCTCCTCACCGCTAGATTGCCATCTTTGTTGCGCACGGTGTATTTGAGCATCTGCTCGACGGTTAGGTGGTCCCACTAAGCACAAAGAAACCAAGGGGTAAAAATGGGCGCGCACATCTGTGTACGTTAGCTACCATTCGCCATTCGAAAATGACGTTGCCGTGTTTGTCTTGCTCCGTGACAGTAGCCCCGCGTATGAAGACCCTGTTACCCTTGGCATCGCGGGCCTCTTGCGGGTCGACGTGG